TCACCGGACAACCAATCAGACTGACCGACACTTTCGGTATTAATTTTGACAGTTTTATCAGTTTTATTGAAGTCAATGAAATCCAATTTCCAGAATGTGTTGCCAATGAAAAAGTATTTCAAATATTCAAAATCATTTTCATTGACTGTTTTGCTAATAAAACGAAATCCAAAATCAATATTACAGTCATTTCTGACATATTGTTCACAAAAATCTTTAGACTCGACAAACACAATCACCGATACAATGGTAGACAATATCAACACCACTGTTGCTGTTAATCCTATAAGTTTACACATTATTTATCCAGAGTTTAAATAATAGTTTATTTTTACCAATCAGTTGATTGATGACATTTATTGCTGAAAACATCAAATCAATTACAATGAAAAAGTATTTAATATAAACAGTTTTTTTTTATAACAAAACCACAATTTAATAGTATATTTGACCGTTAAAACTAAATTTGTCTTAATTCTAGAATATATATATATAATTTATAATAATAATTAAGTTAATAATATTAATATTATACAATATATATGATACTATATAGTATATACTGTACTTTATATATATATAATAATAAAATAAAATACTGTAAATTGTTGGTCTGGACTCCTAAATATGGGCTTTGTTTTGACATTGTTTGCGCGTGCAATACAACAGTGTATTAAATACGTCGATTAAATAATCTAAATTACAATACATACTGTTAGCAATAATTGGTGTCAATAATTTATCAACTAAAATACAGTTAAAATATAGTTTTCAAGTTAAACTGGTATAGAAATTTTAGATATTTATTTCTAATAAAAAAATGTTATATATATATATAAATACAAAATGAAAAACATAAATCTAAATTAAATATATAATAATAATAAATTAAAAATTTAAATTTAATTATTAAATTGTTTTCTGTGTCGTTGTAAACATTGATTGTATATCAAGTATATCATCAAACAGTTGAGTATCAATAGGATTACAATTACCACAATATATAATATAGTTTTCAACCATTTAAACCAATTAATTGTATCATTAGTTTGAGTGCCGGTTGTTGTTATTATATGGGAACAGTCTATCAGTGTCTTTAGATTTTCTAGTTTACACTAAATAAAAATTTATTACTAAATTTAATAATTCATATATTTAGTAGACATTTTTGCTAATAATTAAAAAAAAAAAATACAAAAACATACGGCCATATCATTGTATGGATTTCCCACATAACAGTATTTGATACTATTGTTGTTGGCATTCATAAACACTATAGATCCCTGGCCATTTATATTATCTGCACATGAGTTAGAACAATCATTATTGCTATACTGTGCCACTATTGCCATAATAGGGTATTGACTATTGATTTTTTGCTCCTGTTTTGCCTCAATAATAAATCGGTGATCACTTTTTAATTCATTGGGAAGATCTTCATTTGGTTTGTTTGGATCCCAAAAGTTAAATACTTTTGTCTGACCACTGGTCGACATAAAGGTGACGATACGGTATTTAAACTGAAACGGCACCGATACCCACGCCAGTAAGGGCTCAAAGTCGGCACCAAATGTTATGGTCGTTGTGTTGAGTGTCTGATTGACATCCAATGTGTTAGGCATCAGTACCGCCCAATCAATTGTTTTCAGGTCTTTCTAATTGGGGTTTTCATACATAGAGATAAAAATAAATTAATATATATTTAATTATTGAATGTATAGATAAATAGACAAACAAAAAAATGTTACCCTAAGCGCACCGGTACGACAGTGATCTACTTCTATGACGGGAAATGTAGGAAATTTTGAAGCATTATAGTAGACACACCAGACCATCGAGTATTTCTCACCGGACAACCAGTAAGACTGACCGATACTTTCGGTATAAATTTCGACACTTTTGTTGACGTCATTGTAATTCAATTTCCAAAAGTGATTACCAATGAAAAAGTATTTCAAATATTCGTAATCAAATTCTTTGACCTTTTTGTCAATAAAACGAAATCCAAAATCAATTTTATTGTCATTTCTGACATATTTTTTGCAAAAATCTATGGACTCGACAAAGACGATCACCGATGCAATTGTCGACAACATCAACACCATTGTTGCTGTCAATGATAATGATTTACACATTTTTAATATAAATTTTATTATTTAGTAAATATCAGTCGATTCATTGCCAAAGATATAAATCAATTGTAATGAAAAAAACTATTAATATAAGCAATAATTAGCTTTTAATAGATATTTAACCGTTAAAAAGATTAATATATTTTTTAAAAACAAATAAATTAAATTATTTAATTTAAACATTTGTAACATAATTTGCGTGACTTTAAAAATAATAATTATAATATATTTTTTTTATAATCAATGTAATAAATTTATAAAATTGATTTTTTATAACTACATTAGTTTAATACACATTATCCTATATGTATTATAATAATTTATATTTATATAAAAAAACAAGCTATAAGAAATTCAAATTATTATTATACTTATTATAGATTTAATAAATTTTATTTATTAATTAGATTAAATATTACTAATTAAATTTATACAAATGTTCACAAATAGACACAAATGTTGTCAATGTATTGCAAATTTAATTAAATTAATTTATGTTACAAATGAAAACTTAAATCTAAATCAAATATATAATAATAATAAATTAAACTATAATTTTATTGTTGAATTGTTTTTTGTAAGATTAAATAAAAATATAGTACAGTTATACTGGAGTATATAAATTTTAGAAATTTATTTAAAATGTGTTTTATATTATACACTGTATGATCAATATTTTTTACAATTTACATACAAAAAAAATAAAGAAAATAAAATATATAAATTAGATTATAATTTAAATTTGTTATTGTTTTGTGCATCGTTTTAACCATTGCTTGTAAACCAAGTATATCATCAAACAGTTGAGTATCAATAGGATTACATTAACCACAATAAGTAATGTAGTTTTCAACCATTTAAACCAATTATTTGTACCATTAGTTTGAGTGCCGGTTGTTAAATATATGGGAACAGTCTATCAGTGTCTTTAGATTTTCTAGTTTACACTAAATAAAAATTTATTACTAAATTTAATAATTCATATATTTAGTAGACATTTTTGCTAATAATTAAAAAAAATACAAAAACATACGGCCATATCATTGTATGGATTTCCCACATAACAGTATTTGATACTATTGTTGTTGGCATTCATAAACACTATAGATCCCTGGCCATTTATATTATCTGCACATGAGTTAGAACAATCATTATTGCTATACTGTGCCACTATTGCCATAATAGGGTATTGACTATTGATTTTTTCGTTTACACTAAATAAAAATTTATCTATTATTTCATTAATTCATATTGAAGTAGACATTGTTGCTATTAAAAAAAACATACGGCCTTTCCATTGAATGGATTTCCCACATAACAGTATTTGATACTATTGTTGACATTCATAAAGACAATGGATCCCTGGCCCATATTTCCATTATTATTATTAAGGAAATCATTATAACTATACTGAGCAACAATTGTCATTATTTTGGGTCCTATTATTGACAGTATGATATTTACGAGTATCGGTGGTCATATTATCTATAAACGGTTCATATGGGTTATCAAAATTATAGATTCTGGTTTAACCATTTTGCCAAAATGTTACGTAACGACCTTCAATTTGATTTGAATTGGCAGTCCAGGCAAATGCTGAACTAAATTCATTGTCAAATGTGATGGTTGTTGTTGTTGTTGAATGATTGACCGTTTGTTTAACATTCAACGTATAGCTATCAATGACTGACCAGTCGATGGTTTTCTTGTCTTTCTATAATAGATTTAATTAACAATTAATATATATTTAGTTAACTAATTGTTTGTGTGTTTTTTTTGGGAAAGGGATGTGTGTGGGGATAGGGTTGGATAAATGTATACTAACTCGCAGTGCACCGACACGACTGTGATCATAGTTCACATCGGGAATAACAGGTCTATCCGTGGCCTTAAACCAGGAACACCACACCATAGAGTAGTTTAGACCGGACAACCAGTTAGACTGACCACTACTGTTGCTGTCAATGGTAACAGTTTTGTCATCATTTCCATCAAAATATGTCAGTTTCCAGAATGTATTGCCAATGAAAAAGTATTTATCAAAATTAATTGACTGCTTATCGAAACATTGAAATCCAAAATCAATTTGTCTGTTATTTTTCATATATTCAATAAAAAAATCTTTAGTAATCATGGCTTGCGATTCAATGATCAAAACAACTACGACTACTAACACAACATTACAACTAATCAACGATTTATAAGACATTACTGTATAATACTGTTAAGTATTTTATTGAATATTGAAAATTATGAAACAAATGTTATCATTGGTTTGAATACCCAATTGATTGATAACATAAAACTAGTTAATATTAAACTCTAGTTTTAAAAAAATAATGCTATAATCTCGTAGTATTTTAATCAAATAAAAATTGTTGTATAATAATAATTAGTATAAATTATAATATTTTTAGTTTAATGACATCATTAATAAAATCTAATCTGACTATTCCTTTAATAAAAGTATATGTATTAAAAGTTAATAAATAAAAACATATATATAATAGTAGTTGACATTTAATATTAAATATTTAACATTTTTTAAACTTAAATGGTTTACAATTGCATCTAATTTTTTTAACAATCATTTAAAGTGTTTTTTTTGTCAATTGGCGTCAATTATTTTTTAGCAACTATTGAATTATTAATTTAGATGAACTAATTATTAGTGAGTTTTTTTTGAAAGATTAAATAAAAAAAAATAGTACAGTTATACACTATAACTTATACTGGTGTATATAAATTTTGGAAATTTATTTTAAATGTTTTTTATAGTATACACTGTATGATCAATATTTTTTACAATTTACATACGAAATAAATAAAGAAAATAAAATATATAAATTAGATTATAATTAAATTTTGCTATTGTCTTGTGTATCGTTTTAGCCATTGTTTGTAAACCAAGTATATCATCAAACAGTTGAGTATCAATAGGATTACATTAACCACAATAAGAAATGTTGTTTTCAACCATTTAAACCAATTAATTGGGCCATTAGTTTGAGTGCCGGTTGTTGTAGTCATAGTCGTGGTAGATGTTGTAGGTATGGCTGCTGTAGGTGTTGTAGGTATGGCTGTTGTAGGTATGGTTGTTGTTATATGGGAACAGTTGATGAGTGTTTTTAGATTTTCTGGTTTACACTAAATAAAAGGTTAATTTTAATTTAGTAATACATTTATATTAGTAGACATTAGTTGAAAACATACGGCCTTCTGGTTGAACGGCAGTCCAACATAACAATATTTAATACTACTGTTGGCATTCATAAAGACAATGGATCCCTGGCCATTAGCTGTTGTAGTACTATAATCATTATCAGCATAACTATACTGACCAATAATTGTCATTATTTCTGTCTCCTTATTAACATTTGATTCGCTTATTCCTCTAATAATCTCTTTTGGTTTTGTATCTGTTTTGTTGATATCCATAAACGGTTTGTCAGGTTTATCAAAATTATAGGTTTTGGTCACACCGTTGTACCAAAACGTTACGTAACGGCGTTTAGTTTGAGATGGTATTGGCATCCAAGCAAATGTTGGCCTAAATTCCTTACCAAACTCTATGGTTGTCGAGTCGTTGGCCGCGTGTTTAACATTCAACGTATCGCTAGAAATGACCGCCCAGTCTATGGTTTTCATGTCTTTCTAAACGATTTATTAAAAGTAATTATTAATTTATTTATAAAATTATTACTAACACTGATTGTTATGTGTGTGTGTGTGTGTGAAGAGAGAGAGAGAGAGAGAGAGAGAGAGAGAGAGAGAGARAGAGAGAGAGAGAGAGAAAGAGAGTAAGAGAGAGAAAGAGAGAGACAGAGAAAGAGAGAGAGAGAAAGAAAGAGAAAGAGAGAGAAAGAGAGAGAGAGAAAGAGAGAGAGAGAGAGAAAGAGAGAGAGAGAAAGAGAGAGAGAGAGAAAGAAAGAGAGAGAGAGAAAGAGAGAGAGAGAAAGAGAGAAAGATAACTAACCCTTAGTGCACCGACACGACAATTTTCATGGTCTACACCAACAATAATAGGTTTATCCTTAGCCTTAAACCATGAACACCAAACCATAGAGTACTTCTGACCGGACAACCAGTCGGAAGCACCGGTACTGTTGCTGTCGATGGTTACTGTCTTGTTGTCGACGCTATCGTAGTATTTAAGTGTCCAAAATGTGTCGCCGATAAAGAATATCTTTCGATAGTCTTCGTCATGATATAAACGCAACGAGAAATCAATTTTGCGGTCATTTTTCACAAATTCAATACAAAAATCTTTGGTCACGGCTTCCGATTCAATGGTCAACACAACAACAATAACTACTTCTACTACTAACACAACACTATAGCTAATCAACGATTTATAAGACATTTAATTGCAAAACAACTGTCAACTTATTGCAATGTATTTGAATATCAAATTGATATCAATTTAAATTTAACAGAAATTAATAAAATAGTTAAACGAATTAATAGTTTAAACAAAAATCTCGTAGTTTTTTTAAAAAAAAATAAATATTAAAAATTATATTTTATTATTAATATATTTATAATATTATTATTACTAAGCTTAGTAAAAAAGGGGCAATAATGCTTCGCGCGCTTTATTATAATAATATAAACTATCACGAGATTCATAATTAATAATAATTATAGAATTGCAGTTAACATGATTTATTTTTTTTTGTTGATTAATTTATTGATAAAACTATATTTTTGATAAATTTAATAAAAATAAATAAAAAATGTCAAAAACTGATAAAGTATCGATTAAGTTAAAACAGTATATTTGTGAATACAATCCTATATTTAGTTTAACTATTGATTCCGCTAAAAATGAAACTTTTTTTTAAAAAAAATTGTGTAAAATTTCATTTCATTATTTTTAATTTATAAAATAAAAACCTGTTAACTGCATATTTGGTAATATTAATTTAATACAACACGTGATACATTGTTGCCCCCTTTTTTTTACTAACTTGTAATCTTAATTATTACATTTCAATAATATAAAAATAATACTTTTTGATGACATAACTGTAACAAAAAAAAAACTAATGAAAATTATTAGTTTTTACTGTAAATATAGTATTAAAACAATAATTTATAAATTGTTTAAACATTACAATCAAACAAAACAATAGCTAAAGATATGGTTAAAATAGACATCGATAGTGATATAAAAGTTAATTCAGTGGATCAACGACTCTGATTACAATAGTGTGGATCCGATGATTAGGGACACACTGTTTGCAATAATGTTTGAAGTGTACGGAATCTATGGACAATCCGTACAGAAAAACAGATCCGATATTTCCTAAAGTCGATCCAAAATAGATTCAAAAATACATTAATAAACTGAAACACTATCTGAAACTGATTATCAGATCCGATTGATGAATGATATGGCATTACTAGAGGTTGACCGACGATTCAAAAGCTACTGTGGTAGCACCTGATGGTCATGGTTTTGTGTCACATCTAAATTATATGGTTTATTATCCAATGATTTTTAGGTTACAATTTGGTGATTACTATCTAAATTGGCATCAATTAGCCACTTAAATGACTTATAATTAAAAACTTAATTCATCTAAATTAATAAATGTTTTTTAAAGCAACTATTGTATTGTTAAGTTAGATGCAATAATTATTAGTTTTTTTTGTGTAAGGTTAAATAAAACTATAGTACAGTTATAACTGTAACAAAAAATACTAATGAAAATTATTATTGAATTAGTTTTTAGAAATTATAAATTTATTTAAATTGTGTTTTATTATAAAACTTTTATAGTATACAGTAATATCAATATTTTTGCAAAAAATAAAATAAATAAAATTTAAAGAAAATAAAATATATAAATTAGACTATAATTTAATTTTGTTATTGTCTTTTGCATCGTTTTAACCATTGCTTGTAAACCAAGTATACCATCAAACAGATGAGTATCAATAGGATTACATTAACCACAATAAGTAATGTTGTTTTCAACCATTTATACCAATTAGTTTGAGTGCCGGTTGTTGTAGTCATTGTTGTTGTTGTTATATGGGAACAGTTGATGAGTGTATTTAGATTTTCTGGTTTACACTAAATAAATATTTAATTGTAATTTAGTAATACATTTATATTAGTAGACATTAGTTGAAAACATACGGTCTTCTTGTTGAACGGTAGTCCAACATAACAATATTTGATAGTACTGTTGGCATTCATAAAGACAATGGATCCCTGGCCATTAGCAGTACCACTACTATAATCAGGATCGTAATCATAATAAATATAATGACCAATAATTGTCATTATTTCTATTTCTTCATTAATTTCCAATTCGTTTTTTCCTCTTATAATCTCATTTTCAGTTGAATCCGTTTCAGTGATATCTATAAACGGTTGGTACGGGCTATGAAAATTATAGGTTTCAGTCAGATTTTTGAACCAAAAGGTGACATAACGATTGGCACTTTGAGATGGTATTGGAGTCCAAGCAAATGTTGGTCTCAATTGTTTGCCAAACTCTATGGTTGTCGTGTCGTTGGCCGTGTGTTCAACATTCAACGTATCGATAGAAATGACCGCCCAGTCTATGGTTTTCAAGTCTTTCTAAACGGTTTATTAAAATAATTATTAATTTATTTATAAAATTATTACTAACACTGATTATAGCATATGTGTATGTGTGCAGATAGAGAGAAAGAGAGAGAGAGAGAGAGAGAGAGAGAGAGAGAGAGAGAGAGAGAGAGAGAGAGAGAGAGAGAGAGAGAGAGAGAGAGAGAGAGAGAGAGAGAGAGAGAGAGAGAGAGAGAGAGAGAGAGAGAGAGAGAGAGAGAGAGAAAGAGAAAGAGAGAGAAAGAGAGAGAAAGAGAGAGAAAGAGAGAGAAAGAGAGAGAAAGAGAGAGAAAGAGAGAGAAAGAGATAACTAACCCTTAGTGCACCGACACGACAGTGTCCATAGTCTACACCAACAATAATAGGACTATCCGTACCCTCAAACCAGGAACACCAGACCATAGAGTACTTCTGACCGGACAACCAGTCGGAAGCACCGGTACTGTTGCTGTCAATGGTTACTGTCATGTCTTTGTCATCAAATGTTAGTCTCCAGAATGTATTACCAATGAAGAAGTAGTTCAGCGAATAAACTTTGCGATCGTAATAAAAGAGACGAAATGAAAAATCAATTTTTCGGTCATTTTTTACAAATTCAATACAAAAATCTTTGGTCACGGCTTCCGATTCAATGGTCAACACAACAACAATAACTACTACTAACACAACACTATAGCTAATCAAAGATTTATAAGACATTTAATTGTAAAAACAACTGTCAACTTATTGCAATGTATTTGAATATCAAATTGATATCAATTTAAATTAAACAAAAATTAATAAAATAGTAAAAGGAATTAATAATTTTTAAAAAAAATCTCGTAGTTTTTTAAACAAATAAATATCAAAAATTATATTTTATTATTAATATTAAAACATAATAATATATATTACATATATATTATAGTTTTGGTAGCTAAGATTATATAATTGGTTAGTTTAGATCAGCCCATGCATGACATACCACACCTCCCTCTCCAGCTATATAAGAGTCAACCGACCCTAACTCGGGGTCTTGATATTGTAGTCGTCTTTTATAATCGTATATGTTTTGTAATAGTTTTTTTATTTCGTTTTTAACAGTTTTTAGTACTTTTGTACTGTACTTATTTTGTCTAAGTTTTATACTTTTGTATTAAGTATTTAATTTTGATACTCAACAATAAAGTAATATTATTTTATAATTAAAATTGTGTGTTAAATAACAATTCATACAACTATACTGGTGCTGGGGAAAGGGTGGCGCAAGAAACGCCAGTACCGACCGGATCGGCCAAATCGGCCAATCACTTGGGTGGGACAACTGGATGTGTTTGAAGAGTGCTCTACATTTTGACGACCAGTTGTACGGCCGGTACAGCCTTCACAGCCGCTAACCCGAGTTCGGTGCAGCGCTCGTATACAGACATATATTGGCAAAATATATGTTATGTTGTATTTGGTGGAGTTCGCAGTGGTATCGATTTTATAAGTACTTTTGCATTAACTAACTATGGATTGGTATGTCTTTTTAATTTTTATTTTATTGATTATTAAATTAATGCAATTGTGTCTAAATTAATACGCTATGTTTTTATGCTTTGTGTTGTTTATACTTTCTATTGCGCTAACAGTATTTAACTTAATATATGAATTTTGCTATTTTAAAAGACCTATACATATAGATATCCCAATTAATGCCTCAAATAATAGTGAATATTCAGTATAATTGTAAGGATTAGTTTTATTACCAAAAAAAACGCATAATATTCACTATCATTACTGTAAACCTTAACTTTACAGTTAACTTAACGTTACAGTTTCAATGGGTTTATTGCTGTCAAAATTCTTTAAAACTTCAAAAACTGAAACGCTATTGAATAGAGAATATGTTTCACACATGTTATCAGTGAACCCCACCTACGGTACAGTAGAGTTAGACATTAAAGAAATTAGATATAATAAACAGTTAGATTTATTTGTTAAAATTGAGTAAAAGTAGTTTCCAAAAGTTTGAAAAAGTAATTAAAAAAGTAATAAAACACAAAATAGCGTTAAAATAATTACTATATTACATAAAACAGCAATAAAAATGCCCAGAAAAACTAGAAAAGCTCGCTCTCGTAACACATCACAGTCACTCACTAGGAGTGAAACTAATCCCACAGTTAACACAGTAACACGAAATTCAAATAACACTATCACACAAACAGATGTTTTAACACCAGAAAACAGTCTTAATGTTAATAGTAGTGGTTTAACTGAACAAAATGAACCATTAAATCAAATAAATGGCCAAAATGCAAGCAATTATGTCAATCCCCTAATTGGCCAAAATGACCAAAACAGTCAAACTAGCCCACAAATTGAAAGCAATAAAAATAATTGCCAAAATAGATCTATGGGAACAAATTTAAGTACTGTAAACAACAATTTAAATAATGTTACAAATATTACCAACAATACAGAAAAGCCTAAACCCAAAAGTGAATTTAGATCAATAATTACTGTCGGATCAATTACACCCCAATCATTTGATGGTAGTAATGACATAGATGATTGGATCGGTCATTTTATTTATGTGAGTAAATGCAATAACTGGAATGATGATATGAAAAAGCTTCGATTACCAGTTCACTTAAAATCCACTGCAGAAATGTGGTATAAAGAATTTGCAAAGCTAGACATTGATAGCAATTATGAGGGAACACTCACTTTATCTCAGATTTATGATGGCTTAAGAGAAGCTTTTAGACCAAAAAATTATAGATCTATTTATCAATCAAATCTCATTTGCAGACACCAAGGTCTAAGTGAACCAGTAGCAAACTATCATTATGATGTTATACGGTTATGTAATAAAATTAATCCAAATATGGAAGAACAGGATAAGATAACTCATGTAATGAGAGGCTTAAAGTCAGGAATGTTAGAAAAGGTTTTAGTATTTGAACCCAAAACTTGCATTGATTTGTTAGGAAAACTCAGAAGTATTGAAGAGTCTGAAATACTTGCCTCGCAGAGACCCACCTATAACTATTTGTTATTAAATGACCCGAAAAACAGTACTAAAACACCAATATCTGTACCAAATAACAATAGGGACATTAATCTAAGTGCAGATGTCAATCCAAATACTTTGACCAATTTTACCAAATCGGCCAACGCAGCCAAGGCAGACTCAAAATCAGAGATAGCCCAATTGTGTGAATTAGTAAAAAGTTTTATGATAACACAAAATAATAATAACAATTATCGTAACAACAATTATAATAACAATAATTTCCGTAACAATAGTTATCGTAACAATAACAGTAACAGGTTTCAATATAGGCGTACTGTTGATGGGCGTCCCGTGTGTGACATTTGTCATAAACCTGGACATTTTGCTAAAACTTGTTATCACAATAAGAGTAATAATACGGAGCCCAAAACTGTTGTTAATGCTAAAGAAAATAGCAGTTCGGGAAACGAGTGATGGCGGCGGTCATCACTAATGCCGTCGCCGATACCCACTGTTATATAATCAATATTAAAGATATGCATTTAACAATTGACGGCTATGTAAATAAAACCCCATATATTATGTTAATTGATACCGGATCCGCCCGGTCTATTATTAGTAAAAATGAATTTAATAAATTCAAAAATTTAAGTTTAAATTTATGCTCTCATCCTATATTAAAACTAGCCAACGGTACTACAATGGTACCGGTTGGCAAAGCTAACTGTACAGTTTCAATTGATAAATATAATTATTTAATCGAATTTATAGTCTATGATAACCTACCATTTAATGTACTTTTAGGTTTAGATTTTTGTATCAAATCTGAACTTAATATTGATTTTAAGCAAATAAAAGCTAATTATCAAAGTTTAGTAGAACTTCCATTTTATAACCATAATTTTTATAATAATGTAAATAATGATTGTAAATTAAAAATAAAATCCAGTACTACTATACCTAAAAATAGTGGCCGATGGGTTGAAGTTAACGCTATAAATAAACCTAGTAATGATTTATATTTTGAACCAAGCGTTGAATTTCAAATCAAATTTAATTTATTAATTTTTGACTCGCTAATCAAATATGAGAATAATAAATTATTTGTTTTTATTATCAACACCTTACCATCAAATTCATTTATAAGAGAAAGTACTACTATAGGTACAGTTCAAAATGTAGATAATGTTGAATTGCTTACGGCAACCCATAAGACCGAAACGGCCAATTTTGCTAAATCGGCCGATGCGGTCAATGATACCCAAAATAATGATTCATTTGAATTTAATATTAACAATAACTTAACTGTTGAACAATATAATAAAATTAAATGTTTTTTATTAAAATATAATAACATTTTCGCTAACTCAATCTCTGATATCACTAAAACCGATTTAATCACACATAATATTAAATTAACAACCGATGATCCTATTCATCAGCCACCGTATAGGGCAAGCCCTAAGGATCTAATCGTAATGAACGATCAAATTGACGAAATGTTAAAGGCGGGTATAATTAGAGAATCAAATAGCCCATATGCTAGCCCTGTTGTAATGGTTAAAAAATCAAATGGACAGCTAAGGTTTTGTTGTGATTACCGTAATTTAAACAAAATAACCGAAAAAGATAGTTATCCTTTGCCGAGAATAAATGACTTGATGACAGCATTTACCGGTTCTAAGTTTTTCACAACCCTAGACTTCATATCAGGTTATTGGCAAGTGGCCGTCGAACCAAAAGATATCCCTAAAACTGCATTTATAACACCTAATGGATTGTATGAATGGGAAGTAATGCCATTTGGTTTGACCGGTGCACCTGCTACTTTCCAACGCATGGTTAATAAGCTGATAGCGGGTTTAAGATACAATACATGTGTCGCCTATTTAGACGATATAATAGTATATGCCCCAGACTTTGACATACATTTAGACCGATTGGCCCAATTGTTCGATAGGATCGAATTGGCCAACTTAAAACTTCAAAAACAAAAATGTCATTTTGCTAAAAATGAAATAAAATTTTTAGGTTGGATCGTAGGATCCGACGGTATCAAACCTGACGATAAAAAAGTATTAGCAATTACTAATTTTAGATCACCTAAAAATGTTAAAGAAATTAAGAGATTTCTAGGTATGTGCGGTTATTATAGAGATTCAATGAGTGAGTTTAGCAAATTAGCTTCACCGTTATTGAGATTATTAAGAAAACATGTACAGTGGCAATGGACTATATTAGAGGAAAATGCAGTAAACAATTTAAAAAAATGTTTGTCTAGTGCTCCTGTACTCGTACATTATGACCAAAATTTAGATGTTAGACTTCATACAGATGCTAGTTTAGAGGGATTAGGTTATGTATTATTACATATAATTGAAGGCAAAGAACACCCAATTAAATATGGAAATAATAAAATATTTGTTAGGAAAATATTTCGAAATAGTTACCGATCACCACTCCCTGTGCTGGATGTTCCGATCTAAAAGTCCGACACGACGGATAGCCCGATGGGTACTTGAATTAGCTGAATATGATTTCAAAATTGTCTATAAATCAGGTGCTTATCATTTAGATGCCGATGCACTCTCGCGAGCGCCTCTAAAATTAACTAACGTTGAAATCGGTCAAATTGGTCAAAATGTTCAAACGGGACCAAATTTTGATGAAATGTTGTTGAACGTAAATGACATCAATTTAGTTGAATTGCAACAACAGGATGAATGGTGTAAGAATGTAATTAAAAAGTTTGAAAATATTACAAACAAACCCCAGTATATATCTGGAGGAAAAAGTTTCGAATTAATAGACGGTATTTTATATCGAAAAATCGATAATGGTTTTGGTCCTATTTATCAATTATTAGTACCGAAAGTGTTACGTAAAGACATACTATATACTAACCACAACGATCCGGTTAGCGGACACTTAGGAATTATTAGATGCTATGCAAAAATGAGGGGAAAATATTACTGGAAAAAAATGTTTCGTTCAATTAGTCAGTACATCAATCAATGTATAGATTGTCAAACAAAAAAGAAACCGCAGCGGAAACCTATAGGTTTTGGTCAGATAATGGACACACCTGTCATACCTTTCTCGACAATTGGTTGTGATCTTCTCGGTCCATTCCCTCTGTCTTACAATAATAAAAGACATATAGTCGTTTGTACTGATCATTGCACGCGTTATGTCATCACAGGTGCACTTGAGGACAGTAAAGCTGAAACAGTTGCTAATTTTATTATACATAATGTAGTACTTATATATGGAGCACCTGCAGTCATATTAACTAATCAGGGAAAATGTTTCACCTCAACTCTAATGCAAAAATTGTTTGATTCATTTGATACAATACATTCACGTACATCTAGTTATCACCCACAAACAAATGCATTAGTTGAAAATTTTAACAAAACGCTAGCTAATATGTTATCCCAATATTGTGATTACGATCAAAAAAATTGGCCAGATAGTTTACCTTATGTCACTTTTGCTCACAATACTACTCCTCAAGAAACAACCAAATTTAGTGCCTACAAACTGTTGTTTGGTAGAGATGCTAGATTACCGATAGACACCTTACTAAGAACACCAGTTATTGATGAGATACCAGAACTTTTTGAGCAAAATTTAGAAAATGCTAGATTATTAGCCAATACAAACATTAAGGATATGCAGTTAAAAAATAAGTATTATTATGATAAAAAGAGACTAAATATAGATTTTAAAATTGGTGATAAAGTAATGGTATTCACACCGATTAGGAAACGTAATCTGAGTACAAAACTTTTACATCGAATGTTTGGTCCATTCACCGTAACAGAAATTATAACACCAGTAACGGTAAAAGTAGTTAACGTAGACTCAAACAGATCCGAAGTAGTACATACTAGTAGATTAACAAAATTTAATGAGAATTTTGAATTGGAAATTTTACATGAAAATGACTTAACTGTTGAGCCAGTGAATGATTGGTCAAATTGTCCAAATCGGCCAACACAGACAAATCAGTCTAAAGATCTAATAAAAAATAATATTAAAAAGAAAAAGAAAAAACCAATTGTCAAGGTAATTAATAAACAAAATACGTTTAGAAAACACAGTAAATATGGACGTATATTAAAAGCTCCTGATCGCTATAGGTCTGAAAAGTAAATTAAATAAAAATTTTAAATCAAATTATTATAAAATAACTATTGTTTTTAGAATTGATGGATCGATTTATTAAAATAAAATGTAATATATTGCCTAAAAAACTATTTGTGAGACGTTAGCGCTAAAGTCTGCACAATATAGAAAGAAAAATTAATGAATGAAATAAAAAATAAATTGAATGAAAAATAAATTGATTAGATAAGAAATAAGAAAAAAGTGCACATTTGAAAATAAATTATGAAAAAAGTGTATAAAAAATGAGTAAATTAGAAAAATTAATTGAATTAAAAAAAATTGGGTTAAAATTAAATAAAAGGCAATTGAGTTTAAAATTAATACATGATAGTTTTGACTACTGGACATATAGGTCAGTTTGATCGGATCGGCCGGTTTGGTCAAATTGTCATATTGTGCCCTAACATAACAGTCTGTATTTTAGTTTTGAAACTATTGTTAAGAATATGTAAATGAAAAAAGAAATAAATAAAATAATAGGTTATAAAAAATAATTTTGATTTTAATAATGTTGAATAAATAAGTAGAATTAAATCTAATTAAGTAATACAATTACCTTACAATTAACAATAAAAATAAGAAAAAAAATAATGCGATTGAGTTAGAAATTACAAAAAAAAATACAAAATAAATTACAGAATATAATCTTATCAAAATATTAGTTTTTTAAATAAAAGGTAATAAAAAATTTATATATCTATAAAAATATTATACCCACACACATACACATACACACACACATATACATACACACACATACACAAACACATACATACACACACATACACACACACACACATACACACACATACACACACATACACACACATACACACACATACACACACATATACACACATACAACCACATACAACCGCATACAGACACTTACAAAAATAAGGTATACCATATCTATAACATATGTATACCATATGTATACCACATATGTATATGTATACTATAAAAAACAAACCGCCCATGCAATTTATCAAATGTTATAGTGTCCAAATATATGGTCCTGGTAATTAATGTGACTCTATTGCTGGTCATAATAATAGTATCGGTGCAGTGTATACTACTAGTAGAATGGGACCTATCTGTAGTGGGCCATAAAAATACCAAAAGATATTATGATATTTATACAGATATATACGTAAAAACATAAATATGACATATAAATATAAAATTTAATGTTATGTAATAAAATTTGATATAATACTAATTATATAAATAAATCTACTTAAAACATAATTTTAAAAAAAATAATATGTAATAAATTATATTTATAAATATATATATATATAATAAAATGCTACTCATAATGATGTTATAATCTTTTACTATATTCAAGTGTTTTTAATAGTATAAATTACAATAATTTAAATAACTACAAAAAAAATATATCAAATAATCATTTAAATTAGTAATAACAAAATAAACAACAAATATATACATAAAATTTACTAATTTTATAACTATTTTTGTTAAACAAAAAAAAATAGAAAATTATGTAACTAAATGATAAAAAATTAAATAACAAATATCTAAATAATCAACAAATTACACGATAATTGAATTATTTTTAAAAAAAAAAATAATTTTTATTTAAATTATATAATAATCTTAGTTATATGTTATTAAACATTTAACCATGGTAATATTGGCCAAATTGGCAAATTGGCTAAATTGACAAAATTGACAAAAAAAACATGATTATTATTATAGTATTTATATATTATTTCTAATAAAAGTAATTTGCTTTTAATTATGTATTTATCAACAACCAAAAAATTATTAAATTATTAAATAGATACAATCAAAAAAAATATATTTATAGATTTATTAATACAGTAATAATTAAATTTAAATGAAAATTGTAAATACAGTTTAATGTTTAAAAAAAATAATAATTTTTAAACAATAATTTTCATACATATTATTTAAAACGTTATAAAATAATGTTTCTTAATGTGATTGTTTAGTTTGATTTACAATATAATAAAAAGTCTATATTTATAATACTAATATGTAAATCAAATTATTTAAAAAAAATATTTAGTAAACAAAACAATTTTTTTATTAGTACTAAAATAATATCTATACATAATTATATCATTATATTTATACACATAATTATATTTGTAACCTAAAAAAATATTTAAAAATAATTTATCACAAATATTTTTTTTTATAAAAAAATAATTTACTGTAATATTCTATATATTTTCTACATATATATTTGTCAAAATAGTTACAATATAGTTAAAAAAATTGCCAAATTGGCAAAATTGATTAATTGGTTTAACTAAATATAGTTTCATAACTTTTAAGATATATATAATAACATAAATTAAATAATAATTTTTTTATTAATGTTAATTACTATTTACTATTGTTTTGACTAATTGTTTAAAAAGAATAGACAAAAAAAGTAATTTTTTTAAATGTTTTTTTTTAAAAAAAATGTATATTTGAATTAGATATCAATTATTGTTATATATACTCATACAAAACAAACAAATAACAGCCTAGCTAACGATATGAAGTTTGGCGTGAATTAATGTCGAGGTGTTCATCATGTAGTGCTTTACTTTCATGTGATTGTGTATGTCGTGGACAGTCGAATTAGGTCCGGTGGCCAAATCTTGCCCACATATGGGACAACAAGGCGAGTATAACCGGAAAAAAACAAACTGATGAACAGTCCTACCGGTTAACACTTCCCATCCCATATATGACGATTTTTGATAGCTTTCAAACAATCGTTGTTTGTCTTTAACTGCGTTGGCGTTGGTCAGGTGTCCATACAGTTGGATGACTTTTTGATTACTTCCAGAAATAGTTTCTAAATATCCAGATTCGGTGGGAATTATGTCGGGACTTAACGATTGGTCCATTGAGACGTCAGTGTCGTCCATGGGTTCAGCTATAAAGTTATCAATTGAAGTACTAACCCGTCCAGACATTTGACTGCTGGCCATTTCAATACATTTGGCGGAAGCATTACTGAAACGAGTCATCCATTTACCAAAATTGCGTCCACACGTTCCTAACTTATTGACGGCCAATGCGAACATTTCATCATTGAGTGAATCCAAGTCCTCCTGAGTCGGAGATTCTGGTAAACCTGTTGTTGATTGAATACGAGTGGGTGTCCTGTAATGAGTTATAAGAAAAAAATTTTAGTAATAATATTGTATAATAAGTCTAAAACATAAAATTGATCAAATCGGCCAAATCGACCAACACTTGAATTGTAACGAATAACAGTTGAATACATACCGTAGTTGTGTGTTGTCAGAAGTCTCAGCACTGGTAGTACCCAAACACTGGCCATCGGTATCGGTATTAATGGGTATCCCGTTGTTGGCCTCATTTACAGACAAACCATTGTCATCGTTGGTATCGTTAACAGCAATAATAGGATTACTATAGTTGGCGCCGATATCTGATACTCTATAGTGCTGTACGGTATCTGTGTCTGAATGAACAGTCGTGTCAATAACAGATTGAACAACACTGACGACTCGATTATGACTATCTCTGTCGATATCGATCACCAATCGATGGTCAACTGAGTCATCGCTTTGATCACCAAATATATCCGCAGTTGTATCGCCGACTGTACCATCATTTTTGTCAACAATGTTGGCATTACTATTGATACCGATTTCGGTAGAGTTATCATCGATATCATTGACTATTGGGACAGTATTGTCGTCCGATCGACTTTCGGGTTGTCCACTGATAGTGTCATCAATGGGGTTATCAATAGTGTCATCCAAAGCACCGATTCTTTGCTCAGCAATTGTTTCGGCAGATTGACTGTCGTTTTGACCACTATTGGTCTCATCAATTGTGTCGGCAATCGTCTCATCAATTGTTTTCTCATTTTGATCGTGTGTTTGACCGCCAACTGATTGATCAAATAATATCTTTAAAAAACATTAAAAAAAACAATCAATAATTAGTTTTAAAAAAATATATTGTAATTAATAAAAATATTAATGTAATTACCGATCGACTGGAATCCATTGAAAAGAGTATAACAAACAAAAATATTTTTAATTAATTTAAAAAAATACTAATTATTTTTTTAACAAACAAAATAATTTGAAACTTTTTGGTTAAACATTATTGAAACTACAAATAATTTCATATAAATCACGTGATCAGTGATCAACTGTTTTTTTTGTATTGTTGACCAATCATGTGATCAGTAGGAATACAATACTAATATAGTATATAATATTTCAACTCTGACTGATTTTTACTAATTAGCTTATTATAAAAAAAAATTATAGATTTTTATTTCAAAAAACTTTTTATAATATATAAAAAAAGTTTTTTTAGTAATATTTTATTTTACGTTATTTTACAAGAATTAGATTTTAATTTTAATTATAATCAAAATATCATATTATTTTATAATAATTTTAAAATATATTTAAGGACTAAATTGGCGTTTAATGTATAAATTAAATATATTAAATGATTGTCATACAAAATAGACTAGGATGACCAGTTTGACCAAAATGATCAAATCGGTCAAAAAGTTTATTTTGTGTAGACATAGTGTGCCCACTTCACCCAATTTATGTAATAGGTTTTTCACCTAAATTATTGGTTTGTAATCATAATTAAAGGTTTTCCCCTATTAATTAATAGTAGAAATAATTGTACTGATTGATAAGATAATAAGTATTAATTAAATATTAACTATATATATATATAACAACTTTAAATTTTTATAATTGTTTTATTGTAACGGTTGGCTTTTATTTAACTGTGGGGGGATAAAACATAATAATATATATTACATATATATTATAGTTTTGGTAGCTAAGATTATATAATTGGTTAGTTTAGATCAGCCCATGCATGACATACCACACCTCCCTCTCCAGCTATATAAGAGTCAACCGACCCTAACTCGGGGTCTTGATATTGTAGTCGTCTTTTATAATCGTATATGTTTTGTAATAGTTTTTTTATTTCGTTTTTAACAGTTTTTAGTACTTTTGTACTGTACTTATTTTGTCTAAGTTTTATACTTTTGTATTAAGTATTTAATTTTGATACTCAACAATAAAGTAATATTATTTTATAATTAAAATTGTGTGTTAAATAACAATTCATACAACTATACTGGTGCTGGGGAAAGGGTGGCGCAAGAAACGCCAGTACCGACCGGATCGGCCAAATCGGCCAATCACTTGGGTGGGACAACTGGATGTGTTTGAAGAGTGCTCTACATTTTGACGACCAGTTGTACGGCCGGTACAGCCTTCACAGCCGCTAACCCGAGTTCGGTGCAGCGCTCGTATACAGACATATATTGGCAAAATATATGTTATGTTGTAATATGTATTTATATTATTATTACAGTTCAATAATACTTTTTGACGACATAACTGCAACAATAAAAACTAATGAAAATTATTATTGTATTAGTTTTTTACAGTAAAAGTTTCGATGAAAATACAGTAGTATTAAGACAATAATTGAAAAAAAAATTACAATCAAAGTAAATAATGGATAAAAGTAGTATACATAGGGCTATACCCGGGTTGTTACGTAATAACAGTACACGTTACGTAATATATTCACAATAAGAAATAAATATTACTTACAGATTTCTACTATTGTTTTATTATTCTATTCTATTAGTTCTACACTCAAAACTTTAAAATTAAAATTGAGTCCACAACAACCAACAGTCCTATTAAAAGACATTTTGACGACTAACACCAAGCGACAAAAATTTATGAAAAAGAAAATATATGACTTACGGGACTTATTAGCGGAAGCCAATGAAGAATATTCGGCCTGGTACCCCAACTAGCCATTATCGAAGGATATGGCCATTCAGACAGAAAATGAGATGAAGTCAGTCTCCTTTTATATATCGCCAGACATTAATGATACTTCATGTCAAACATTATTAGTTACTTTTTCCTGTTCTTCTGTTTAAACAGAAGTTGTTACAAAATAAGTTGAAAAAGTTTTCGATAAAAGAAACAACAAATGTGTACAAACTAATTTCAGAAATTAAATTATATGTAAATAGTATTTAATAAAAAAAATTCAAATAAGTATTTGTATATATATATATATATATATTGGGGTGAGTGTACACAAATTCCTCGCAGTTCACCCTGGGTAATGCCAATAGTGTACATAAATTATAATTACATACACATACACATACACATACACACACACACACATACACACATACACACATACACACATACACACATACACACATACACACATACACACATACACACATACACACATACACACATACACACATACACACATACACACATACACACATACACACACACACACATACACACACATACACATATTGTACACAGACACAACAGAGGATATGCTTTCATTAAGTAAACATTGCAATAAGCGTATGCAATAAGCTTTATAGAAGCAAAGATTAAGTTATACCCATACAATCATGTCTTTAAAAATAGTATCAGATTATTTATTTTATATTTCTCGCTCAGGAGATTATATATGTGTGTTGTCTTTATTTGCTAATTTATATAAAGACAACAATGAAAAGTTTATTCAAATAAAAGATTATTGTGGTGTTATTTTACAACCGTAGAGTTAGTACATATAAAACAAAGTCATCAAAAATATATTATCAACAATTTTAAGATATTATTTGTGTATATCAAGAGACGCCAAGTAAAACAACTTTTTTTTGTTTTCAACATTGATGAAGTGAATTATATCAACAATTATAAGCATATTATTTTATCACATGTGTATAAACTATGCTCAAATAACAGCTAATCTACACTAACACCGACTTGGAACCATATCAGAGTACACATATTATCTGTTTCCTCGAGTTAAAAATCCCAACAAACTTAGGTGGCTCGTCCTAGTATCGATCTCGGGTTGTCGTACTTGAAAGCCGACAACTTAGCCTTTCGGCCATCGAGGCATCATTAGAGGCAGAAATATTTCCACATATAATTATAGATTTTAACACTTATGGTAAAATAACAATCACTAATAAATGTAAATTAATATTAACTGGTGTTAACAATCAGTTTGATTTAGATATACTTTTTCATTTATTTAATAATTTGTATTCAGATTGTTTTTTAAAAAAATTTTTATAGTTTATTTTTTACAAAAAATTATTGTAATATTTTTTATAATACAAATTATAAAAAATAATTTTATATTTTAAAAATAAAAAAAAATAATTTTTAAATTTTGCGCATTTTTATTACATCACGTGATACACTACTACTACTATACACGTCACGCGACAAAATACTATTTCATTGTAGTAAAAAGGATTAGTGTATTAATCATACTTAAGGATTAATCCGGCTTATGAGGATTAAGCGGATTAAAAGTTTAATTTCCAGATATAGCCCCCTGTATACTACTGCTAAAGATATGGTTAAAATAGACATCGATAGTGATATAAAAGATAATTCAGTGGATCAATGGTTGTATCCATTGGCAGATATTTATGAAAATGTAAATTATAATACAAATTATTATTAAATTTTTTTTTACAAATAAATATATTTTATTTAATTATATTTTAGTCGATACTCATCGATGATGTGTTGATAAACATCTTAAATATGTTGAATCCGAAAGAGTTGTTTCAATTGCAAAGAGTTAGCAAACAGTTTCAGTATTGTTGTCAACAAAGTCTTGAAAAAGTAAAAGTATTGCGAATCAGATCACAACTGATGACTGACGACGAGTGTTATACAAGAAATACTTTGGACATCAATGGATTCATTTAAATTAATAAATGTTTATTTTTTAAGCAATTGGTGTCAATTAATTTAAGCAACTATTGTTTTGTTAATTTAGTTGCAATAATTACCGATATTAGTTTCTTTTTGTATATTAAATAAAAATATAGTACAGTTATACTGGTGTATATAAAATTTAGAAATTTATTTAAAATGTTTTTTATAGTATACAGTAATATCAATATTTTTACAACAAAAAAAAATAAAATAAATGAAGAATATTTATAAATTAGATTATAATTAAATTTTGTTATTGTTTTGTTCATCGTTTTAACCATTGCCTGTATATCAAGTATATCATCAAACAGTTGAGTATCAATAGGATTATATTAACCACAATATATAATGTAGTTTTCAACCATTTAAACCAATTAATTGGGCCATTAGTTTGAGTGCTGGTTGTTGTATGTATGGGTATTGTAGATACGGCTGCTGTAGGTGTTGTAGGTATGGCTGTTATAGATGTTATAGGTATGGTTGTTATTATATGGGAACAGTCGATGAGTGTCTTTAGATTTTCTGGTTTACACTAAATAAAAATTTAATTGTAATTTAGTAATACATTTATATTAGTAGACATTAGTTGAAAACATACGGCCATTCCATTGAATGGACGTCCGACATAACAATATTTGATACTATTGTCGACATTCATAAAGACAATAGATCCCTGGCCATCAGCTGAACCACCATTGCTGTTATCATTTTGACTATACTGACCAATAATTGTCATTATTTCCATCTCCTTATTGATCTTCAGTTCGATTAGTCCTCTGATAATCCAATCTTGAATTTTATTAATTTCAGTGATATCTATAAACGGTTGGTACGGGTTATCAAAATTATATGTTTTAGTCGCAACTTTGTACCAAAAGGTGACATAACGGCGCTCCCTTTGAAATGGTATTGAAGTCCAGGCAAATGTTGGTTTAAATTCATTGCTAATATCAATGGTTGTCGAGTCGTTGTCCGCGTGTTTAACATTCAATGTATCAACAGAAATGACCGCCCAGTCTATGGTTTTCAAGTCTTTCTAAACGATTTAAAGTAATTATTAATTAATTTATAAAATTATGACTAACATTGATTGTCAAGTGTGTGTGTGTGTGTGGAAAGAGAGAGGGATAACTAACCCGCAGTGCACCGACACGACAGTGATCATAGTTTACACCAACAATAATAGGTTTTTCCGTACCATTAAACCAGACACACCAGACCATAGAGTACTTCTGACCGGACAACCAGTCGGAAGCACCGGTACTGTTGCTGTCGATGGTTACTGTCTTGTTGTCGACGCTATCGTAGTATTTAAGTGTCCAAAATGTGTCGCCGATAAAGAATATCTTTCGATAGTCTTCGTCATGATATAAACGCAACGAGAAATCAATTTTGCGGTCATTTTTCACAAATTCAATACAAAAATCTTTGGTCACGGCTTCCGATTCAATGGTCAACACAACAACAATAACTACTACTAACACAACACTATAGCTAATCAACGATTTATAAGACATTTAATTGTAAAACAACTGTAAACTTATTGCAATGTATTTGAATATCAAATTGATTTCAATTTAAATTAAACAAAAATTAATAAAATAGTAAAAAGAATTAATAGTTAAACTTTTTTTTATAAAAAAAGTCTCGTTTTTTTAAACAAATAATTATATAAAAATTATATATTATTTATTAATTATAATACTGTATTATTATTACAGTTCAATAAAACAAAAATAATACTTTTTGATGACATAACTGTAACAAAAAAAACTAATGAAACTTACACTAATTGTATTAAAATGCTTGTATTTATTTGCCTACAAAATGCACTATTTATTATACAGTACTATAACTCCACCCATTTTACACACAAAATATATTCCCGTAATATAAATACTAAAAAATATTAAATTATTAAAAATAATAATAAATATTAAATAAAATAATAATAACTAAAAATATTAATATATTGGTTCTTGTAGCGTTTACCGGTCCTGGGAATCCCGTATAGAAATGGTAGCCCAGACGTCCCTGAGTACCCCCATAGCACTTTCATACCTGTCCGACCTCCGCAATTTGAGATATTCGACTTTAAAGTCGATTTTTTAATGGACGTTATTTATGTATATGAGACATTATTTCAATGTACTTTTTAATGCTACTAATATATCTGAAAACAAAATTTCAATAAGACTTAGTATTCGAGATATTTGACTTTAAATCGAGTAAAAATTATTTGCAGTATAAACCAGTTGAGAATGATAGAAAGCATTTCCATACGTACTTTTTTAGGAGTTCGTGATAAAAGTATTATTTGTTGATAGTACTATAAAATACTATCATGATTTAACAAACTTATCATTCAAGTCTAGCATTGCCAAAAATATTATAAAATTGTATATTAATTTTACACACAATTAACAATAATAAATTTATACATTTAATAAAATAAATAATATACAGTAAAAATAATAATTAAATGCAATATACAAAAAAATCGACTATAGTCGAATATCTCGAATACTATATAACTTATAGAAATGTTGATTTTATTATGATAGTTATTATTAAAAAATACATTGAAATCATATATCATATGTATAAATAACGTAATTTAAAAATTTCGACTTTCGATTTAGTCGAATATCTCGAATACTAGAAATCGTATTGAAATTTTGTTTTCAGATATATTAGTAGCATTAAAAAGTACATTGAAATAATGTCTCATATACATAAATAACGTCCATTAAAAAATCGACTTTAAAGTCGAATATCTCAAATTGCGGAGGTCGGACAGGTATGAAAGTGCTATGGGGGTACTCAGGGACGTCTGGGCTACCATTTCTATACGGGATTCCCAGGACCGGTAAACGCTACAAGAACCAATATATTAATATTTTTAGTTATTATTATTTTATTTAATATTTATTATTATTTTTAATAATTTAATATTTTTTAGTATTTATATTACGGGAATATATTTTGTGTGTAAAATGGGTGGAGTTATAGTACTGTATAATAAATAGTGCATTTTGTAGGCAAATAAATACAAGCATTTTAATACAATTAGTGTTATTATTGAATTAGTTTTTGATTGTAAATGTGTCGATGAAAATACAGTATTAATATTAAGACAATAATTGATAAATTGTTTAAATAATACAATCAAATATAACAATTGTTAAAGATATGGTTAAAATAGACATCGATAGTGATATAAAAGATGATTCAGTGGATCAATGGTTGTATCCATTGGCAGATATTTATGAAGAGGTAAATTATAATACAAAATATTATTAAAATTTTTTACAAATAATTATATTTTAGTCGATACTCAACGACGATGTGTTGATAAACATCTTAAATATGTTGAATCCGAAAGAGTTGTTTCAATTGCAAAGAGTTAGCAAACAGTTTCAGTATTGTTGTCAACAAAGTCTGAAAAAAGTAAAAGTATTGCGAATCAGATCACAACTGATGACTGACGACGAGTGTTATACAAGAAATACTTTGGACATCAATGGACTGAAGATACACTTCATTGAGATTCATTGGTTGGCCGACAAACTGCCAAATATTGGAATACTTGTCATTAATCAAGAATTAAGTCTGAAATCGATGAAACGTTTTGCCGAAAATTGTCCACAAATTGAATCGCTATGTTTTGGTCCGAAATTTGCCGAAACATTGACAGACAAAAAACTGATGGCAATTATGGACTTATTTGGCGATCGACTCAACCGATTTCGTGTCTATTGTCCCGAAGTATTGAAATCCTCTACTAATCGGGACGACTCTGATTACAATAGTGTGGATCCGATGATTAGGGACACACTGTTTGCAATAATGTTTGAAGTGTACGAATCTATGGACAATCCGTACAGAAAAACAGATCCGGTATTTACTAAAGTCGATTCCAATGACATTAATAAATTCAATCATCAACTGAATGATGAAACACTATCTGAAACTGATTATCTGATCCGATTGATGTATGATTTGGCATTACTAGAGGTTGACCGCCGATTCAATAGCTTATGTGGTACTACCCTATGGTCATGGGTTTGTGCCAAATCTGAATTATATGCTTCACATTCTGGCTTTCCAATGAATTTTAGGTTAAGATTTGGTGATTACTATCAAGATTGGCATCATTTTTCAATTAGCGACTCAAATGACTTTTTTAATTAAAATTTTAATTTGTTTAACTACAGGAAAGCATTATTATTATAGACTATTATAAATACAATTGTAATTTATAAATTAATTTTTTGAATTTTTCAATGAACTACTAAACGATTTTCGTCTATCATTTAATTCGTATATAAAAAATTGATGTAAACATATAAATAGACCCTAAAAATAAAATTTTAGACAATTAATTTTGAAAAATAATTATATAAATATATAATAAATAATTTTTAAATTTATTGTAAGATTTATACCTGAGATCCGCTTAATATAATGAAAACATATGAAAATAATTGATGAAAAAAGTCGTGAATATATAATATAAATGATAGCCAAGTGATACCCAACAGGAATATAATGAATAGAAAACTTAATAATTGTTTAAACTTTTTTTGCCACCTTTTCTCTGATATGCCGTACTGTTTGTGATTATGTAATATACGAAATGCTGTCCTAAATGATATGTACATTAGGGTACAGTTGGCTAATATGACCGTCACAGCCGGTCCTAAATATTTTTCGCCCACAAATTCATAAATACTTAAATATAAGATAATATTATAGTAGTAATAATAGTATTACTAACCAATTAGTATCCAAATATGACTTGAATAATGTGTCGATGATATCCAACAACTTGTATGAAAACAAAAAAAAATATAAACAATTAATTTACTATAATATTAAAGATAAAATAAAATGCATAATAATTTACAAATAACTGTATCGATGATCAAACAGTGCCTCCAATACTATATTATGTTTGCAATAGATGACCAAAAATGCCACGAAAATGATGGCCACTGGTAGGCCATAGCCAACCGCATAGAGATAGCGGGCCTTGAATTGCCAATTAAAACACGAGACCAACGACTTGTACAGATAGAAGCCCTCCAACAACATCCAGAAGAATGAACTCATCAGCGAATAGAGTAGTGATCCCGAAGACAGTCGACATAACCACTGGTCATATAACCAAAACAGAAGAAGAAGAAGGAAAAAACATAATAATAATAGTAATTAAATCAAATTATTTTTTTATTTACCACAACATCTGTTCTGTCCATTCCGAGTACGACCAGAAAATTGGTAATCAATAGACAAACGCAGAGATTAGTGGTAATAATAGCACGCATTTCATTGAGACTATTGTCACGAGACTGTTGACTATTGATGAAACAGTGACGCGATCTGACAATCAAATTGATGGCCACTATCAGCGACACTATCGACACAATACTACAGCTGTAGGTCAGTGCCGACTTGAGTACCGTTCGCCGTTCGCGGCCACTGACGTCCATCAATGCAGCAAAATTGGTTAAATGATTACATCGGCAAACTGTGTGATACCTGTCCGATAGCTGGGTGTCGGTAATGCATCCACGATCTGACCATTGGTTGGCCGCAAAGTCCCAGTAAACGCACTGAACTTTATCGCCAAATTGTAATCGCTTTTTGTGTTCAAGACTACAGTATATGATATTATAAATATTAAGTAATTTGTGACATAAATTAGATATTAAATCTTAAGGATAATAATTTGATGATTTATTTGATACAATGTATACATATTTGATGAGAAAATGCAATCATAAAAAAATAATTAAATTATATATTAAATACAAATATTTTTTTCCCGTGTACTTTGAATTATAGATTATTATAACAATAAAAAAACTAAATAGAAATCTTATTTGAAATTTCATACTTAATATTTAATAACTATTATTTTATTTTTGAATTATTTATTTTATATGAAAGTTTTTATTTATAAAGTTATAGATAATAAATAACCGGAATAAAGGTAATTGTAATTTTATTATACAATAGTAATCAAATATACAGAATAATTGTCAAATAATAATAAAAAAGTTTAAATACCTTAAATATTTCGCTTGATTTTAATTGTCAAAATTATGATTTATTAGTTATAAAAATTGTTATTTAATAGTTTTATGTGAGAGAGAAATAGAGAGAGAGAGAGAGAGAGAGAGAGAGAGAGAGAGAGAGAGAGAGAGAGAGAGAGAGAGAGAGAGAGATAACATTTTATTAAATATATTTTTATGTCACTAGTATTATGTAATTTTTTATGAATGTAAGTAATATATTATTTATAAGATTTAAAATTATATTTATAGTTAAAAAATTATTTTTAATTATTTTTAATTAGCACATACCTAATGATTACATCCCTGTTGAGTAAAACTGATTGACTATCGTTAGTCATACTAAACGATAGGATATATGAATTGATCTCATAGTTGTCCTCTAAATTGTCCGATAGATAGTCGCCGATATTGTGAATGATAGCACCGACCACTTGATTGGTTCGCCTGACAGTATTGTTAGCAAACTCAGTGTCCGACGGTATCACTATAGAGGTCTGGTTAGGGTTATTGTAGGGAAAAGTTAGCTCTACAGCGGCGGCGGCTGTGTTCACATAGAAAGTATTGATATAGAAGTCACTATTGTCTACAACAAGCAAATTGGTGGTCAAGTTTTGCCGAAGTGCCAGACTATAGGCTGTCGACTGACTGGTAGTCAGTATCTGTTCGGCCATCGATGTCCTCTTGTCTGTTGTCGAGTTAGTCCATGCGTATGTCTGATCTAAAATGTTGGCCAATGTGTCCAACATTTTACTAGTGTAACACTCGATGGCGCACAGGTTGCTGTCGGTGTCGGTCCCGCTACTAGTGGTAGCCGTTGTGTCGACAAACGTCTGGACTTTGCTTACAATATCCAAGGCTTGAGACAGTCGTTGACTGTCGATAATGGTATCACTTTTGCCGGTCCTATTGGATATGGTTTCAATCATTTCGATGGCCTCAGCAATATCGTGGATACTCTCAGTTTTGTTGTCCAACTCGTCCAACCAGTGGCCACACTCTGTCCAATCTGGTCCTTCATCGGAAAACTGGCCATTCAGTTGACACTTCCAGCTAACACCACTACCAGCATCACCAATACCAACTCGACCGGGACAGTCAACTCTGGAGTCAGTACCAGGCGAAACTGGTGGCCAGTGTTTGATACCGTGTTGACCATCATATTTGCCATCAGAGTTACACTCCAATGAAACGGTTGTACTAGAAGTAAATGCTAACGACTTTTGTGTGCTAACTGTGCTCTTCTGACTTTTGGCCGGCGAATCGGTGTTTATAGTCTCATTGGTGGTCACATCAAGTGTGGCCTCTGTGTCGCTAACCGTAAGAGTTATGTCATCGTCAATGGACTGATCCATCAATGGATTAATCGCGGAGTTAATTACTGCTAAAATTAAGGCATAGTTTGTATTTTTTGGATAAATATTATCATTAAATTGTATTAAAACTATATAAATATTAATTAATTAATTAAATAAAAGTTAGAAAAATTTATGTAAATTATACCACTAGTTTTATTGGCAATAATAGTTAGAAACAAATTAAAAATTATTATTATTATTATTATTATTACATTTGATTGATATTTAAGAAAAATCATATTTATTTGTTGTTGTAATAATTATTTGTTGGATTAAACATTAAATAAAATTGATTTTTTTTTAAATTTTAGAAATGATTATATAAACTACACAAATGTATAAACTTATTATTAAATAATAATAATAATAATTTTTCAAATAAAAAATATTTAAAAAATATATATACAAAAATTAAATCATGTTTATGTATGACAACATAGATGTCACAAAAAATATTGTATAATACAAACACATATTTAAAAAATATATATAATAAATTGTATAATAAATTATCAAGATAATTTGTGACTCAATTTATGTTATTATCAAAAAAATGTGTGACTTTAATAAATAAATAAATAATAGATTTTTTTTTTGTACTAAACATAAATACTAATAATACTAAAGATATATGTGATATACTGTACTATAGATACAGATAAGTAAGATTTATAACTAATTAATTAAAATGATTAATAATTTTTAGTAATATTTTTAAAAAATAAGATATTAATTATTTTTTTTAAATATTTCTAAATAAAATTATATAAAATACATAGATTAAAATATATTAAAAACTATTAATTAATTTTTTTACTTTAAAATTACTGTATATAATAATATTATTTGTAAACTATACTATTAAAATTAAATAGTTTGTCTAAATAATATTTTATTTTATTTTTTTAGAAAAATAAAAAACAAATTTAATATCTACTGGTATTTTATTTTATAGCCAGATTTTATGGCATTCAAATAAAATAAAAATCTATCGATTTATTATTATTATTATTACTGTATTAATGTATTAAACTGTTTATATATATAAAAGTTTTTTTTTTGAAAAAAAATAAAGTACAATATAGAAAAACATTTACAAACATTTACTTTTAAAATATCTATTGATATATAAAGAGCCAGTCAATTGATCTTGCGCCACGTAATTTTTGAATAACTTTTAAACGGTAAGAGATAATTTAATTCTGTAAAATACATTTAAGAATATCATATCGACCACACTTAATATACACACAATCGCAAAACTAGGATGACCAGATATACAAAATATCATGACCAACGAAAGACACTATGCTACAGGTCAAACCACAACTGATAAATTTATTATGACAATGAAACTTTGTAGTCAAGAAATAATAGTTTAATATAAAAAAAGAATCATCAAAATCGAATTGGTAGTTTAGTTTTTATGGCTTGTTAAGTTTGTCATAAATCACATTATAWAATAKGGTCTAAAATAAAAATGACGTTATTTATGAATATTATATACTTATTAGATCTAATTTTCAATTATATTATGATTTCTATAAACGAAATTTTAATATATCGACTAGTTTTCAAAATAATCGAATTTGAATATAAATCACACTATTGTAATTTGATAATATAATTTATATTAAAATTCGATTATTTCGAAAACTAGAAGACGTATTGAAATTTCGTTTTTATAATTAGTAATATAATTGAAAATTAGATCTAATAAGTATATAATATTCATAAATAACGTCATTTTTATTTTAGACCCTATTTTATAATATGATTTATGACAAACTTAACAAGCCATAAAAACTAAACTACCAATTCGATTTTGATGATTCTTTTTTTATATTAAACTATTATTTCTTGACTACAAATTTTCATTGTCATAATAAATTTATCAGTTGTGGTTTGACCTGTAGCATAGTGTCTTTCGTTGGTCCTGATATTTTGTATATCTGGTCATCCTAGTTTTGCGATTGTGTGTATATTAAGTGTGGTCGATATGACATTCTTAAATGTATTTTACAGAATTAAATTATCTCTTACCGTTTAAAAGTTATTCAAAAATTACGTGGCGCAAGATCAATTGACTGGCTCTTTATACTGTATATATAAATTGTACTAGTTTATATCTATTATAGTATAAAATAAAGTACTATAATATAATGGGGTTTGGATTCACACACAAAAAAATAAATAAATACCAATCAATTGTGTGCACACATTGAAAGCATAAATTGCATTTTAAGACCAAATTTAGTTTATTTTTATGTTTTATATATTACACAGTTTATTACAGTATATTGTTATAATAGTATTTGGATATTACGGTATAAAAGGAGAGAAAGAGAGAAAAAAAATAAATACAATTTACAGGAAAAGCCACACAAAATATAAAGACATTATCAGACCATTCAATATATATATAAATAGATATTATTAAAACCAATTGCTTGACAATCAATTGCTGACAAACTTTTTGTTGTTACTAAACGGATATTATATGTCCTAAAATTTTATTTTTATTTTTCCCTCTAAAAAAATTTTGAGTAAATTTTCAGAAATTATATTTTTTCGCTAAATATAAAAAAATATATGATATTTTGAAGCATTAATACAATATTGATTAAAATTGAAAAGTTTATTATATAACACTATAATTTTTTATATTAATAAACATTGATAATAATAATAATTGTATAAATAAATAAAATTAATGTATTATTGTAAACAACATTTATAAAAAAGTAATAAAATTTATATCAATAAATGTAATTATATTTAATGATCTCTCTATCTCTCTCTCTCTCTCTCTCTCTCTCTCTCTCTAATAATCACATAAATTATATAATAATTATTTTTATTCATTATAACATCATTAAAATTAATTATAGCTCATAAACAAAAATAATTGATTAGTAAAAACAATTAATCTTAGATTTAAGATACAATATTATACTATATATATAAGTTATATACAGTATACAGTATATATATATATATATATATATATATATATATATATAGTCAATATATAGCCAAAATCATTCAATCATTTATTATAGTAACAAAAAAAATCCTATTTATTATTATTATCATTCAATTGAAAATAAATAAAATACTAATCTTTTATTTTATTTGACTAAAACTGCATATTTTTCTGTTCAATGACTCTCTAATATTGTAATATCAATAGTCTTAATATTTTAGTCTTTCTTTTTTTATATATATGATATATAATATAATAATTTAGTTTATATAATATTTAGTGGTCACCATTGAACTGGTAGTTACAATATATCATACCACTGCTTGAGTACTACTACTACTACTACTACTACTACTACTACTACTACTTAGCTTTATATAATGTATAGCAGAATCTTCAGAGTTTATGATTATCTCTCTCTTTCTCTCTCTCTCTCTCTCTCTCTCTCTCTCTCTCTCTCTCTCTCTCTCTCTTTACACACACTCAGTGAGCATATCTTAAATGACATGAAATTTGTTTTCAGAGGCAAACATCTCAAGACATTCAATAGACAGGCAATCATTTATCTATCCGATTGAGTCCAAGAAATTTGTTTTTTTTTTGTTAGTATATACAGTATATTATATATATTATAGTATATTTCTTTATTGATAACTTTAACGGTTTGAGAGGAGAGACGATACACATATACATCATAATAATCGCTGATTTAAACAGATTTTTTTCATATGCCATATAAACACTCTATTATAGCATATACTGTATATACACACATACTGTGTATATACCGTTCCCTTAGATTATATAATAAATAATAGTAAGTGTGTGTGTGTGTGTGAGTGAGTTTCAAAAAAGGACAGTTATGCTATTGTGATGTCAGTCAAACAACTGATTGAGCAAAAAGAGATAGAGGTAGAGGAGTTGGTGAGAGAGAGAGAGAGAGAGAGAGAGAGAGAGAGAGAGAGAGAGAGAGAGAGAGAGAGAGGGTAAGGGAGGTATGAAAGTGTTATACACATGGCTTTGACTACATAACACAAATGTACAGCTGATATGCAATCATTACAGGGTTGGAGAGGTTTCAATGCCTTTCCAATACATATATAGTACTGTACATACATAAGCTGGCAAATGGATTGATAGGTTAGTTTGATTATCACTTACCAGTCTCTCTCTCTCGTCTCTTAACTATTGTAGAGATAAAAATACAATGAAAACCCCGTTATTGCTGACAAAACTATTAAAATAGTTGTTAAAATTAAATTTTGTTTGAAAAAGTTTTATCTGATTTTAACTTATTTTTTTGACATTTCAATTATATTGTATACTCAAAAAATATTTTAATCTATAAATATATTTCAATTTTTCATAATAGTAATAATAATTAATAAAACTAAGTTGCAAAATGTAATTATAAATATATATATTATAGTTATACTATAAATATTTATTTGAATAATTTAACTGTATTTAGCTGTGATCAGTAAAATCTCAGCAATGATTATGGTTGGCCTCCCTTTCCTTCCAACTCATTGTACTGTACAGCAAAAGTATTAGTCAGTAGTGATGGTGATGATGATGACCATCACCTCCATCAGCGCAAAAATTGTACAGTATTTGGCTGAATAATGATGGATATTGTCGGGTATCGGTCCGTGAAATCGCAATTTTATTGGAGAGAGAGAGAGAGAGAGGCCGAGAGGGCCGTCATCTATGAAATCATCAATTTTTCAATGTGTGGCAACATGTGTGCCGCCCGCCTAAACCTACTACTACTACTACTTACTACATGTGCTGGAAAATAAAATAACCTTACGGTCCATACAATTCATGCTAAAGTAATACCGTTTCTCTCTAAAAAAAATTTGTCAAAAGAGCATAAAAATATTGTATTGAATGTGTTTTATATAAGTTTATATCGTATAATATGATACATATATATATATATATATATATATATATATATATATATAAAATTTGTATATCAAATCACTTTATGTGTGTATTTCACGGA